TCAGCACTCAAAAATGGATTGAAACGGATGATTGACCCTTAAAAATGCTGCGATCATCATCAAAATTTGACCCACAGCCATATTATCTTAGCCGTCTTTTGGTGAAATGGTAACTAGATGTAACTAGATAGTGGTGAACTTCTTTATTTTCAGGTGATGTTGAAAGGGGAAATATGTTGGGAAGCCTATTTCAGCATCTGTTACAAAGATGGAAACCCTGTTAATGGCCCAATGGTTTTTCAGTGCTGCCATTGTCGGAGTTGTGGAAATATCTCTGGTTTGTCCAAGTCTAGGAACGAAAAACCAACAAGACTTGGTTATGCCGCAAGAAAAACCGGAAGTAATTCGACCATTCGTTGATTTTGTCGTCTGCGCAAAGCAAAGCATGCGGAGTTTCGGATGGACAGGATGGCTGATCGTTGATTGGACCAAAATAGCGAAGACTGGTGTGCTTAGAGGCAGAATTAGAATCATGTTAACCCAAGGATAATGGTAGAATAAGCAGCCCAGATCTGTTTCAAAACCAGGAGTTGACCTGCAGAAATCATCAAAAACATCCCATTCCAAGGTCCAAAAAACCCAGTAGTATGGGAAGTCTATATGAATGAGCAACCGTGGGAATGGGAAAGTCCCATGAAGAGGTTTCCCCCCAGATGCCACCACGCGAAGCCACGGCCACAGGAACGCGCACAGCCGAACCAAAGAGATGGATGGAGTGCAAGTGTTTGAGGATTTTAGGAGCTGGGGGTTGGGATTGTACCAAACAAACAGGTGTCTTTTTCCAGTAATTACTCGTAGAAAATGAGAAGTTTGCTGGATGTTGCCAATGGAAAATGTGGGTTTACAAACCAAGAACCTGTGTTTGCTGGCAAACTGATGGATGGTTGTTTTACCACCAACCGGGATGTAAAGAACCCATTAAAATGGCTGGCAGATTAATGAAACTGGATGGTGGTTTTTCAATGTTTCTGAGTTCTTTATCCCTAGTCCTAGTTATGATGATCTCAATTGACTTGAAGTCAGAGTGCGAAGGTTTGGTATCACCATATCTCGAGCATGGGGCACCATGAAATCACCATTAGATCTGCAGGTTTTCAACCGGGCTCCCTTCCTGAAAGGTGTACAGCCCGCTGTGTCAATCTGTGTCAATCGCCCCAGGATTGCGAAGGAGAACGGCAAGAGCTTTCGTGACTTGACGTTGCTGCTGGTACTCAAGAAAATTCGGGGGATTGTGTTAATTAAGTCCATTTTAGCCCCATTAAGTCCCACAAAATGACCATTTTGCTTCAATTCCCCCACGTTTGTCCATTTCGAGCCGTCAACGAGGTGTGCACTGCCATTCCATCCAGACCTGGCTCTTGTCGGAGGAGATGCGAAAGTGGTGGGTCCAATTTTATGCGGTGGTTTATGGTTCGTTGATGATCAGATTTCATGGAATCATGGACAAAAATGGATAATCATGGACAATGGGATATTAAAAAGGATGCAGTTTTTCAAACAAACCCACACGGAGTAGGGTCAAATCACGGGTCAAGGGTTGGTCACCTCATGTCACATCTTTCCAGCGTTTACTGTACTGGTTGCTTGTTCAAACGCCCTGAACTCGCAAGCGTCGCTGGGTCCCACCAAGTCATTTCGAGTAGTGACTCCAGAAAGCTGGATGGTTTGCTATTGGAGGTGACATCTTATGGTCTCCACATGGGGGTTTCCATAAATGGGGTTACCCCAATAGCTGGATGGTTTATAATAGAAAATCCTACTCAAATGGATGATGACTGGGGGTACCCCTATGACTCAGGAAACCTCCACATCAACTCCATTCAATTCCTAGACATCAGTGAAGCCGCTTTGTGCGCGCCGCTGCCACGTCGGCCACCAGTTCCCACAGCAAACGCTCGCTGCTTTAGTTTCAATGACGGAGTCGTCGCCCGTCATTCCGTGCCTGGCAGATTCCGAATTCTCTGGGGCGATGATCAAACTTGATAAATTGGCGCGGTCTTTTGGGATGGCTCAACTATCAACCATCTTTGATGTTTGATACATAATGGCTGATGGTCCTTGTCCTAATAAATGGTTGATGATGTTGATGAAATCAACGAATTCTGGTCCTTGTCATTTTGCACTGGGATGGTGCAAGGCCCCTTTCATCAATGGTGTTGTCATTCCGCCAGAAAATGGTCAATTAAAGCTTGCAAATGACATTATGACATGTCTGAAAATTCCCATTGGCGAATCATCCAAACATTTAATCTCAGGACACACCGACAAACCACTTAAAAGTCTAACGTGGCCATTGTACCTTTACCGATCGGTATCCAACACGTCCAGCCATTGTTTAGGGTTGGTCGAAATCCCATCTCAGGATTCGATCATTGCATGGAAATGTTTGTGTCATGTTGTATGATAGCTTGAATGGTTGGGGTTTGGGTGATGTTGACATGGGACGACCCCCAAACCCCTGAAGTTGATCATATTCGTGAAAAATGTTGCCAAGAGTTGCGAGAAATCGACCCGTGTCTAAACCTCAAATGTTGCTATAGTATATCCATAGAATGATATCCAAAAGTGTGAAAATTGATTTAATAACAATGGCCAGAAGTGTCCCATGTTGGCCCATGTTTTCGATCGCCTTGCCATGCAGGTGCGTCGCGCCAAAGATGTGCCGCGCGCTGTTGGCTTCCACCACGCCACCTGGCGAGAGGGGGCATGGGCAACAAAAGTTTGCTCGTCCAATAGAGGGTATAGCATGTTTTGCGGATTTTATAGGATTTAATGGGACTTAATTGGGCTTAATTGGGTCAACCTTGCTTGTATACTTTAGTACTTTAGAATACAGTATGTTGTGCTATGGTAAAATGTACTAACCAGCTAAAAATTAGATTTTTTGGCAGCTATCTAAGATTCACTATGTTAATTGGATTTAATTAATATCTCGCCATAATTGGTATATAACGGGACGTAATTTGGATATATTTGGACGTAATTGGGATATATTTGGATATAATCGGATCTGATATGATGTGATGTTACTGGGATGTCATGGGGATATTATGTGATATAATGTGTTATTTAATGTGACGTGATGGGATGTCATGAAAAAAAATATACAGATAAGTTCCGTACACATCTAAAACTGACGATGATAGTTGATGATAGTTCGGGATGATAGTTGGGAAATTGATGCTAAGTAATCAGCCGCAAATCAACCAGCTCCATGGAAGGAAAAAATGCCTTATGTTCATGGGGAAAGTGATGAAGGTTTGGCGGAACTGGGGGTACCTCATTTTCAAGCACACAAGCACACCCACATGAGATACATGTGGTTGAAATAGAATGATACATTGGGTGAATTACTCTCCTGCAAACCAACATAGATATGGAACACCTATAATTTGTGCATCATTTTCCGAGGCAAGCAGTTGGGTATTGGTAGAAGTTCAACTGTTGCGTGCTTATAAAATAGTATATAAGATGAAATCATCATTATGCTGGGATGTCACCATATTTAACTAGTACGCGGATGAGGATATAAGTGACAAGTGATTGGTTGGCTTTGAAATAGTAGGTCATACGACCTGGTTTAATAGGGATTGTTAAATAGGAATACCTGTTATCTGTTCACCAGTATTAACCCAGAAGCATCTGGGCAAGTTATAGACGATCCCACTTACGACCCCACCAAAAATCCTGCTTTTATTTTCAAGGGAGGCAAGCCCTAAATGGGCTTAAATCCAGTGTGTGATGTATTATGAACTATGAATACCAGCCATTTTGGTGGAAAAGACCAGTGGTTTCCAGCATTTTGACCCGTACTCATAAAGTTTGAGGGTTATAACTCCCAGGTGACTGATGTGTGGGTTGCTGGCAACCAGACCCAGCTGAGGCGAATTTTTTTCAGGTGCGCCAAAATCGGGGATGTCTCAAGGAAAATTTCGTATACGCCTCGTTTGGATCGGTTGGGTTGTGTTCAACCATCCAATTTCGGGGCATCAATTCTGATTATTACGGTAGCTAGATTGAGGTCTCCTAAAATAGGGGTACCTCAAATATTCCCAAATCATCCAAAATTAGATAATTTTAGTACTGAAACCCATGGTTTTAGGGTTCCCCCATTTTAACCCCCCATATATTTTCGCCATTTGTCGCCCGTCCAATCATCCTTGCTGCTCGGCCGAGGCTAGTCTTGATGTGCGTGGCTTTAGGATGGCTCGGACTCTGGGACTAGGGCACCATTGACAGAATCAGAAGGGTCACTCCCAGAATTGGATGAAGGGAAAATCTACAGGAGGACACCCCATTTTACTGGGAAAAACCATAGTGGCTTCCTGTAAGATTTTCCCTCAAACAAACCCCGAAGAATCATTGCCTCAAAAGGAAACTCCTTGCGTAAAAGGTCTGACGATTGAGGAAGACTAGTTTGCGTGGGGCACACGCTGCTACTCATCCAAAATTGCTACAGTGTTGGCCTTTTTCACAAAGCCAAGGCATATTTTGTTGAGCAATTGCTATGAATGTTCATGATCAACTGTCCTTGACTTCCCACATGTTCCATCATTGTTGAACTCCCAGTGCTGCATACCTCCAGGATTGTAGATTGCAACCCCCACTTGTTGGCCAATGTCGACATTTTTGTTCGGCAAAGCTTCACCTGTTCTGCAACATCCACATGATTCCACATGCTTTGTTGGTTCATACCAAGAAACCTCACCTGTACATCTCTTGTTGGCTTACACCGCTCGTACCCAAGAAAATATGCACATCATATGAAGGTTTCCTGAAATGTGGGTACCCCAAAATCATCCATTTTAAAAGGATGTTCCATTTTAAACCATCCATTTTGATCCATTTTGGGTACCCCCATTTTCAGGAAACCCCCATATATATATACATATATACTGTACATATATTACATGTTGATCATCATCTCACTTGTTTCAAGCAACTGCCGCGCGCTTCAGCATTGGGGCACTCAGGACACAACAGAATTCTTGTCCAGCCCAATGAGCGTCGTTTGGGCGAAGGACTTCGTAAATTCATGGATTGATTCAACGGGAAACCTGCAGGAAAACCTGGTAAAACCACTGCCAACACCTAGGGACCTAGGGCTGTTCCTGGAGATTCCCCGCCTTTTGCTGGGAGTGAAACCTGCGACTTTTTTCTACCAGATGTGGGATCGGCTTCGCCCACACTCAAACGACACATCCCAACAATATGATATACGTGTCACCTGAAACACTGGCTATACGCAGTGATTGTGCCCTGAAGTTTTCCGGAATTAGGGCTTTTAATTCAGTGTTTTAGGTTTTAGGATGTTTTCGGCTTTTAGGGTTTTAGGCTTTTAGGGTTTTGGAAAGTAAAAAAGAACTTCAACCGCAGCGATTTGAGCATGTCAAAGGATCTGCGGGCTTTGCAGCGAACATGTTTCATCATGTTTGACCGATGTGGGAGTGCTTGTGATGCTTGTAAGGTTGATATTTATAGTGGTTTATACCCTCTGGTAAACTAACATAACTATGGAAAATCACCATTTTTTAATGGGAAAACTCACTATAAATGGCCATTTTCAATAGCTATGTTAGTTTACCAGAGGGTATTTTCCGGGCGCCCAATTTTCACCCAGCCTATGGGAAAATGAGGCGCCTATACATGACCTATCTTGGAGAGCTGTTGCAAGACTTTCAGCCTGGTCGGCGACAAAAATGTGGGCTCTAGAAGGATCCAATCGATCTACAAGTCAAAAAATAGTCCCAGGAAAGGTTAAGTAAATTAACCAACAATTCCTAACATTAAACTTTGCAAAACTTCAATACAACCAAATCTATCCAGTTGTTTTATCAGGAGCGATTTGGAGCGTTTTGATGTGTCCGTATTCCCAACAAAAGCTGGGGAGCCAGTTGGAGCTAGGAATTGAGTTTCCCAACCACATGAAATATCAACCCAATGGCGCCGATATGTCATGGCCCCAACTGCATCAGGACGTCCCAGATGTACAATGTGCCTTTGCTAAGGGGGAACAAAGGCCACCCTTGTCGATGGGTTTGTTGAAGATGTGGAGAGGTGTCGCCATGCTGGGTGTTTGGATTTTTTCTGGTAGATAGTAGATGTGGTGGATTGGCCATCTAACCATTGAGAGATTGATGAATTCTACAGTGCCAGCACTACAACCAACAATAGCCAGCAAAAAAGTTTGGGATACAAGCAATCGAAAACGGGGATACTTCCAATAACGCTGATCAAATCACAAAAAGAAGTGCAAGAAAGCCCCCATACCTGGCCGGTAAATCCAAGATTTCCCATACCTTTGTGTTGAATAAATCCACAATTTGGACCGTTAAATTGTACATTGCTGATGAAAAAAGATTAGAAAATCGAAAAGTTGTTTGCCACCATTTTGATAGGATTGTACATTTCTATCTGGACATTGTGTTTTGATGTGTATTGACTTTGCCCTTGGTGCATCGCCTCAGCTTCCCAGTTGAGGTCTGGGAGGTCGTGTCAACAGACCCATTGCTGCGCCCAGATGCACGACCGCTGTTTCCAGTTCCTCGGCGATGGGATGCACAGATGGAGCAAGCTTTGCATATGTTTTTAGTGTTTTTACATATGTACTAGCATGTGTGTAGATAGATATATGTTTATATGTATACAGTGTATATATAGTTGTATACAGGGATGTTGGAGTATTTTGGAGAGCACTGAGGAGAATCCAACGAGGACTCTTAACCAAAAGGACCACGGCATGTGTATCACAGTGGCTGAGGCAATTCGGTGAATCCAGTTTCTGCCGGCCAAGCTGGTTCCCCTCGCAAAGGCTGTTTCGTGTGGTGCCGCACTTCACATGAAACACGTTGAAGCACATTGAAATACCCGAAAGCAAATAGAGGTTTCCTGAAATGGAGGTACCTCTAAATTTCTAAATCATCCATTTTGATGGGATTTTCCATTATAGACCAACCATTTTGGGATACCCCCATTTATGGAAACCCCCAAATCAGTTTGGGATAGTTTGGGATGGTTTTGATTCCAGGTTCATCCCAAGGTTCATCCCAAAGCATCTCCAGCCGCAGCTGCGACAGGTTGGAGTTGCCATGAGCCCTTTGCACATCCTTTGGCAAAGGCGCGACATACAGAAGAGTGGCCCGATGTGGTGGCCGTGTGTTCAGCCGGTATGGTGCTGGTTGAGAGAGCCCCTTGGCGAGAAATCTCTGGGTTTCGAAACTCAAAACTTTAGGGATCGTCAAAATCAACAATTTGTTTGAGATGTTGCGAAGAAATTTGGAAAAGCTCTAGGTTTGTCAATTTTGGGCTGTGATTGGTGCAGTTGGGAGTCATGGAATCAAATCCATGACATGGTGGACTTTCTTCGGCCCCCGGACCAAAATTCATGCTCGGCGACCCATCTCTCGAAAGCGTATTTGAGATGATCCAGTGATATCCATTGGAGCACTGTCAAAAACCCATGAATGTCAAAATGTTCACCACTCAACTCTTTGTATCAATCTCCAGCTCCGTGATGAAGACCCTCTTCCAGCGTCAAAGGAAGCCTTTCAGCAGAAGTACAATGCGACGTGCGACCAGTACTGCGAGAAAGGTGCTGGCCCTTCCGTCCGCAGCTTGTCCCAATTAGACGACCGTCGCCTTCCAAAATTCAATCGAAAATCATGAGAGCTCAGAGGCCTACGTAGATCAAACCTGACTTTTGATGGTTCAAGAGCATAGATGTTCCATGATTTTCAGCTTGGTTGAAAGATGATCCAACAGAAAAAAAAAACGAAGGGCTGCTACCAGTCTCCCGTTGTGATCTTCCCAGGAACTTTGATGTTTGGACTTCAAGGCAGAGGTGATTCGGCGGAGTTTCAGGGACAAAGCCACTGACAGTCGTGCATTAAGTCATTAATTCATTAAACACATACAATGTATTCTACATAACATTACATAATCATATTTTCATTCATTGTATATACATTGAATATATAAATATATAGAAATTGATCAACACATAGATAAAAATAAATAAATCCCATCAGATTCCCCCATTGTACCTCCAATAGATTCCGATTCATTGATCCTAGAGCTTCCCATTAATATCCATGAATATCCATTAATGTATATTAGTGTATGCATAGCCACAATTGTTGTTAATTCTACCTCCATGATAGCCACAACCATTGATCATCTCTGAGAGATTGTGGATCCAGGCAATGGAGCCTATCAAAGTTGCCCTGGCGACAAACCAGGCGATGTCGCTGCTACAGATGAGAAGATGTTTCACAGATGATCTTGATGAAGTTTGATGAATAATCCATAGATGTCTATGTTTTTTCAATGAACTAGAGTTGATCTACATGATACTACATGATGATTCGTTGATTAAAAATAGTGTGCGATTTTTGGGGGTGGATCATGATCTATCCATCCATGGATTCTAAGTTGTGATTTGATCATCAAAATGGGTGTCTAAAAATGGGATCCAAAAACAGGCCATTTAAACGGGGAACATGATGATTTTCCGACAAACCCAGATGGTTGATAGTTAACGGTGCCCTATTTAAAAACCTAACGCCCACAAGAGTCAATTTTGGGCCCACATGCTGAAACAGCTGGCTGCTGAGCTCATGGATTGGAATGAAATCTGTAGGAAAATGAGTCTGGGGGTTCGGCCAACTAAGCTGCGTCTTCCTTGGGCAACCTCCCTATTCGAACTCTAGATCTCAGAATTGGCTCACTGGAAAAAGGAAGACTGAAAACGCTACGTATAGTTGAGGTATGTTGAGGTTAAAGATACGTAAAGACCCTGGTTTCTGGTAAAGATGTTCCCAACAAAACCAATCCACAGTCTAGATGTCCTTCTGCTGCTGATCCCCTTGGGTCCTGCAAGGTAAAGATCAGGGTGCCCTGTGCGAGTGCAGTTTCCCAGATCGCCTGGACCCTTGGAGATTGCGGAAACAAGGGCTTGTCTGAAAATAGGCTACCCAAGAACCCCATGGTTTTTCCCAACAATCTATTTAGAATGGGGTATGCCCAACTTTTTCTATATACTTGTCCTTATTAAATGACCATTCTGGGAAATCTTGTGTTTTCTCCGTTCTCCAGAGCAGAAGTGATGTTTTTTCCCTGATGCAAACGGATTCAAAGGGATACGGGTCAAAAAATCAGGCCCTGAAATCACAGATCGTGGTCACATTTGTCAATAAACCACCTGAGTCTCCACAGCTAGGCCTTTAGCCATCACGGAGTTCAGCGTTGAGGTGGTTCCGGGATTTGATTTGGTCCACTGGCATCAAAATAGTCCCACAGATTCATACAGGGATAAGGGATATCCCACTGTATCATGTTTATCCAGGTTTATTCAGGTTTATTCATGTTTTTATTCAAAAAATCAAGTGGGTTAATCCCTCCCCTTTCCCCCTAACATTCAACACCCCCCAGAAACCATGGGTTTAGTGAGGGATTTACATATATTTGGGACCAGTTAAGAGGTATTTTATATTGGGATGTGATTGGAATGGTAATAAGCTGGCCCCACCTTTCCATGTTCCAGATTTTGCCAGGTCGCAGAAGACCTGAGGCCCAGCATTGACGAATTCGAGGCAGTGAAGGTTTCAACGTCAGATCAGACTTTTAAGGGCACCAGAAGAAAGATGAAATGAGTTGCAACCGCAACTCTCATCATGCACTATCCACATAGACATAGAGGCATACGGCATACATATGTAGGTAGAATCATGAATGTATTTCCATGCCTTTGAAATCTTGAAACACAATGTTGCACTTGAAGTAGGTGCAGTTGAAAGTATCAGTCTTGTCCACCTGCCTTTGGTTGTTGACACCCCGTCCCCAAGTCCATGGTATGATGTCGTACGTTCATTTCCGTGTTCGCCAGTTATAATACTTCTAGCAACGAAAATGCTCCTTTTTCCCGGTGAGTCAAAAGTAATTCAAACATCTTCCAAGTTGGTCCATCTTGGGAAAGCATCCTCAATATTTGTTGGTGGACCTCCGTTGTCATTTTCTGAAAGTGTTTTTTTCAAAGCTCGGCGAAGGGAACGTCTAGAGAGTTTAGCACTAAATTCGGATTATGCGGAGGTGCAACAACCAGCCAGTTTCTTGAGGATTTTCCAGAGAAACAATCCATTGAATCCCTAGTTTGGTTGATTCAACCACCATTTTTCCATCATGATTGATGCTTAAGTTACAATTTTCATGGTTGAATCACAATTTTGTTGCCATATTCCCAAAGTCTGAGACCCGACAAAAAGGCCATGGCCAGAAGTGCCCAAAATTGAGCCGCGGGGTCTCTCAAAATCGGCTGCCAAGCTGCGGAGACAAGAAGCTGCGGTGCCCACTGATCTTAATTTATAGCTGTTCAAAGAGACAATGATGTTTATGCATGCAATTATAGTATGAATGTAGAAAATATCAACATATATAGACGATGAATTAAGATGATATAATATGTCAATAAATATATATTTTATATATATATATTGTTTATTTAAGTTATTTGGACTGAAAGACTAGGAATGTCCACCTCTGGAGTAGGTAAGTTTAACCAAACAAAAAGTGTTGACCCCGAAGAACTCTTCTGCCAAGAGCTTGGCTCATGTGGACCATGATATGATGCTCCATTTGTCTGAACCTGGGGCACTTTCTAAACCCCAAATATCACATCAAGTTAGTTATATCTACTTATTTAAGTGTATATATATATATAACTATTTACTTTATACATAACTACATTATATACAACTGTGTAGTTATCTATTTATATTTGTATTATATTATATTATGTTCTATATATGACTATATGTATATATAAAGCTATGTATATATATATACATTATTTCTGTATTTACATATTATTATCACTATATTCTATTATATCCCTGATTTGAAGTCCCAGAATTGGCGAAATCTCCGGCCGGCAGTCGCTATAGCCGCCGCCTGCAACGTCCGAGCGCGTCCACTCGTCAGATGGCATGTCCGCTGTAAAGGAAGCCTGGCACGGCATCCGTCCCAGGGCCCAAACAGTCCAAACGCTTCTTGATTGGGAACCAACCAAAGGTGGATTAAGTCATGAATATGCGGATTGAACCGGCAATAAATATAATAAACGGGGAAGTAGTCCATATCAATAGTGGTTTATGGATGAAAATGGAGGTAGCAGCACTTTCTAGGGACAGGTAAATACCTATGAGACCATTGGAATGGGGGGATTAAGATCCATGAGCATCAGGTATGTATTTTGCTGTAAAAACACAGGGGAAAGATGGGAAAAGTGAACCAAGCAATCATTACCAATATACCATTATACGATCATACCATTATATATCCTTCTGTATATTATATATATATCTTACCATTATATCATTATTGGTTACAAAGTCATCTTCCAAGAAGTTCGAGTTCAAAAGCAACAGTTCAGGGCCTTGGATCTTGGGTTTCCCGGCCCAGCATTTCCCTCAAAGACAGTGTGTTCTTAAAATGTTTCGGATATATTTCGATGTTAGATTATCTCTATACTGTATATTATATATATATATTTATAAAGGTTTTCGGCTAGGGATTTGCCGCTGGTGGCAGCCCCTCGCACGATCAACCTCAGCGGGCCATACCCGCGGGCAGACGGCGTTCTTCTTGTGCTCTGGCAGCACTGAGCTGGCTGCCATCACCATTGCTTTTGCAGGTGGTCTACCTCGATTTTCTTCTACATCGACCTGGACCCTGCTGGCTTTGGTGCTTCCCCTATCTCAACAACTTTGACTTGGCGATTGACTTTGTCTCGACCAACTTCATCTTGTTTGAGATCATAACTGGCATCTGCTGAACTGGTATTTAGCCCTGGCAGTTTGCTACAATTTTGTGTATTTATGGTTTTTTGCTTCTGTTGGATTCTCAGTGTCTTATTTGCTGGACATCATCACGAACTCCATCAGACGAAACCAGCGGCGACAGCGAGCGAGAGCGAGGCTAGCTTGGTTCCTGCACAAACGTGGATTGTGCCCACTGGATTCTCAGCAGCTCTCAGTTCTTCATCATCGACTTCGCCGACACCATTCTCGAGATCATCACTTTCTAGGACGTCTTCGCAGCGAAATGTCGAGACTCCAATCCGACAGTCATGGGTGGTTTTGTGGCACATGTCGCAAGATGAGGTCTCCTCAGGCGCATTTTTGCGATCTGTGCGGGCAGTCATGGCAAGACTGCATCCAGTACCCCTCCAAGAATGTTTCTCGCAGGGGACAGGCAGAATACTACGATGGCTATGCACAGGGGTACGAAGAGACACCATGGGCAGGCCACTCCTGGACGGAAAGTCCAAGGAACAGTCCGAGGAAAAGCCCTCGTCAATCTTCTGGTCGAAGGACCAAACAGAGACCACAGAAGAAAGGACAGGGCAAAGGTGCCAACAAGGGCAAGGAGAGGGGCAATTCAGCGATGGCCAGTCAAGCTGCGCCGCCCCCACCTCCGCCACTTACTGGACCCAATGCAGCTCCTGCACCTTGGATGTCAATGCCTCAACCACCACAGGAGACACAGTTTCAGGAGCATCCTGCAGAACAAAGACTCAACGAAGTGATGAATTTGCTCAAAAAGAAGAAAGGAGATCAAGATATCCAGGAGATCGTCAGCAAGTACGATACCCATGGCAAGAAGGCCACCAAGAAGCAGATGCATCATGCAGTGAACGACCTGGACCGTGCCCGCAACGCTATGGACGTTGCAATTCAAGCCAGGACGAACCTCATGAACAACTGGCAGAACTTCCTCACAGCCTCGCTGGAAAGATGGAGAGAGTACACAGGCCAATTTCAACAGCAGGAGACAAAATGTCAGGAAGAGATTGCAAAGGCCAAGGAGGATCTTGCGAAAGCCAAAGTGGAGTTCCTTGCGCGCATGCCGGACGAGACACAGGAGATCTCGGACGAAGATGTGGACATCAAGGAGCAAACCGAAGCGGCTTCCAAGATTTTGGGTGGCATGGAGAACATGAGCAGCAACCTTCTGGCCCTCACCGAGCAGGCTGCAAAGGACAAAGCGGAGGCGGAAGAACGATCAAACAAACGACCCCGCAAGTCAACTCCTTGCAGCACAGCAATGGAAATGGACGCAGGTTCAGAACTTGGACTTTCAGATGGTTCCAAGCCGCCTGCGCCGCCTTTTCAAACGCCCGGTCAGTGACGGCCTTCGGGTGCATTGGCCAATGGGCATCAGGATCAAATGATGCCATTCTTCAACAGTGGAATCACTCCATTGTGCAAAAATGGTGGTTCATTTCAACATGGGAAGCCTCGGAACGTGCCATGGCGCTCCACTGGGAGGTGTGCGAAGCCACACCCCACTTTCCTCAAGTTCCCCGTTGGCAAGGTCTGGGTTTAACCATGCCAAAGAGGAGAGATCAGATGGAACGACGCGTACGTTTTGCCAATTTTGCTGAGGGTCTCTTTGAGGATCAGTTTGAAGACACATGGAATCGATTTGTTCTTTCACATCGCGATGAATGTCAACAAGTTGGACCACAACTACATCCCAACGGTTCGAAGAAGTCGCTGGGTGATACTTTGTTTTCGTTGTGGAATCCCTCCTGTTTGAACACATCATGCCAATGGCCACTTCGTCAACACCGTATCAATGATGAGTGGCACAATGTTCCGTCTCAATGGCTCACACAGGACGGTCTGCCACAAGATCAAGTGCCTGGCGACGACCATTTCAACCTGAATGAAGCGCCCAACACGATCCAGGAGCTCTACAACACGTTTTTGGAGCACCATCTTGTTGAGGGGCCAAGATTGGAGGAAGCTATTCACCTTCGAACATGGTATCTTCATCATGGACAGGTTCGTCAGTGGAACACACCTCGCATCATAGAGCTCGATGGACATTGGAGGCATTGGGCCAGATCTATTGCAGAGGGTTGGCACGACCATGTCCGAATTGATGAAGACATTGCCTTTTACGTCTGTCGACCAGATCCGCCAAGAAATGCTCCAATACAATATGAGATTTATTTTGACCTCATTTTGACTCAGGGGCTTGAGATGCCATCGTGGGCTGGACTTATCACTGTTCTACGAGCAGGAGATCGCGCTGCGAGAGCCGAATACAGTTTGGCTGTTTCACTTCCTCAGTTTGTGAGTGGTTTTCTTCTTGCTCAAGAGGCACATCAACTTCAGCAATGCCATCTTCGTGGATGCAGACTATGGCATGCGAGAACGGAGATACCACTCAGCATTGATCCTGTGCACGCTATGAGCAATGGGGACACCTTCATCATTGAACCTGCAAGAAGCAGTGCTGCGGCATCGAGCGCCAATGCTGAGCCTCCCATTGCAGATGTGCAGATGGATTATGAGTGGGATGATCATCAACAAGCAGATCAACCTGATCAGACTCATGATGGCCCTCCTGATGAGGATTCCTCATCATCTGAGCCGCCACCTGACCTACAAGCAGTGCACATTTACAGGTTGGGCCAGCTACCTATCTTTGGTCACCTTGACTGGCGATCCTATCATGCTGCGCTTCGAGACGCAACGCAACTGGTCCGTGCTCACATGAATCATTTCGTGGGTTTTCATTATGTGCATGCTAGCCTCACAGGTCATCAAGCTGGAGAAGAAGCAATTATACTCCAGCACATTCATGACATTGCGGTTGGGTCCCTGGAGAAACTTGTCATTGTGGATGTAGTGTTCCATTCGAACAGACTGCATCATGGAGTACCTGCCAATCCGGCAGCCACCAGAGAGGTATACAAGGTGCAACCTCTGTTGGCAAGGAGACACCTCCTTTTGATGGCACAAGTGGATGCTTACTGCACTTGGATGGCCGACACCTGCATTGTTGAGCACAATGGCAACGTTTGGCACCACAATGACCCACAACTGCGCCACATCGAACATGGCACTGTTTTTCGAATCCAGCTTCCACCACCTATGAATTCTGCATGGGACATAGGACAAGTTGTCCGTGTAGTTCACGAGAGTGGCGAAATTCTGGACTTCCCCGAAGCTGGACAATTGGCGTCCTCAATTCTTGATGGCAATGTGGACCACAACAGGCTGGCCTTCGGCACTGAGGTACGCAATGGAGCGAGACTGGTCACCTGCAAGGGAAATGAACAAGTCGAGGACATTGACATCCCGACTACTTTTCCTCCTGGTACTAGGCAGCCACGACTCCGACCCAAACATGATGGCAACTTTGAATGGTTGGACCGCTTAGTTGAGGTCTTTCGTGCACATGCAGAAGCCGAAACTATCGAGGGGGATCCTTTGCTGTATGTCCAGACTTGGTACATCCACCATCGACGTCTCCGAAAATGTCCTGACCCCAGACCAGTCAGGCTGGACAATGCCATCATTGGGTGGATCGAAGAGTTCAGATTTGCATGGAGAGACCTTCTTGACCGCCATGAAGTTTTCAGCATCCATGTAGTACGCCCACGTCCACCTCAACTGCGTCTACAGTCATATGCTTGCCACGTGATTTTGGTACAGGCACCACTGCCACAGCAAGCGGCTGGTATCATCACGAACCTTTTTGAAGGCGTTGACCGAGATGCCATTCAGCAATTTGCGCTCTCTTTCCCGAAGAGAATCAACAAGCCCTTGGTCATTGAAGAACTACGCCTTCAACCACAATGTGACACGAGAAGATGCACAATACACGCCTGTGGAGAACCTGTTCACCTGATCTTGATGACAGAACTGCCTGATGGTTTCAATCTCTGCACGCGCATCTCTGATCCTACGGCACAACGACCCATTCTACCTCATGCTGAGCCTGGGCATTTTGAGGATGTTGTATTCATGCAGACAGGACAACCTCAGCAGCAGGCAGCAACTGGGTCAAGCCACAGTGGGTCTTCGACACAGCACATAGTTTGTGGCAGCTTTGCGCTTAACCCTGATGCTCAGCCATTTGTGCCAGGGGCTCTTCCTCTGGAAGCGATGTCTGAGTTTGTGCAAGACCTTCATGAAATCTGGCAGCAAGAAGCATTTGCATGGGAACATGAAGAAAAATCATGTGTGTTCACCACGTGGCTTGTGCATCATCCTCTTGACTACAAGCACTGCGCTCGGCCACGCAATGTGCGCCTGCATGAATGGTTTGTCACGTGGGAAGACAAAATACGCCAAGCTTGGCAAGATGAGATGGAGGAGGGCTCAGAACTTGAGTTTCATCTTGTGCAACCAACGCCGCCACAAGCTGGCCACAATGTGGCAGGACACATCATTGTCATCAGGAATCAGATCGAAAATCTAGTTACGAATCTGGTCACCATCATTGACCGTACACAGAATGCCAACCATGGACGTGTCCAACGGATGGCAGTGACCACAAGGGAGCATCTCTTGCTAGAAGAAGTACTTGAGGCTGTGGGCTACGATGGAGCTTGCCTTCCCAACGATGCTCCTCTAAACTGCAGAGCATGGATTGGGGACGAACGTCTCCGTCCTCGACGTCCATTTCCAGGCAGAAGTGGCCACAGCATCCTGATTCATCTGCACCACAGGACACGCCCTGCAGGAGATGAACTTCATCTGCTGCAGTTGACAAAAATTTTATCGGCAGACGAGCGCCTAACACAGAGACCGGTGGCTCATATCTCTGGGCCGTCTGACCGATTATCAGACACATCCTATGCTGGACATTTCCCTTGCGAAGATGAAAGGGAGGATGAGATAGCAACTGCAGCTGTTCATCTTATCCGAGGACATGATGACCTCACACACCTTCCTTCGTTTGTGGAAGTCACATCCCCAGCCACCATCGACAATGTCAAGAGTGAGCTGTCCTGTTTTGGAGTTGAATGCAAGGTTTTTCTTTTTGGACATGGTGATCATGCACTTTGCCTACCCACCCATTGGGTCCCGGCACATGATGAGCACCATTTTGCGTATATTGACATGTGTCCTACAACTAGCTCAACTGTCTTCATGCATACGATGTTGAACTTTGACAAGGATGACACCTTGCATCACATGCGCTTTCTCTACAGCTTGGGTTTTGAGAAGGCAGTCATCATGAACCAGGTGCAGCACTGTCCTGGACTCACGGAGATCCAATTCATGGTGTCTGTGGGTCAGATTGAGTCTGATCATAGGACTCCGAAACCAGCATCTGCATGGCCTGAACGTCAACCGCAGAAACCGGATGGACCCATGTATGAAGTCCCAGTTTGCGGCACTACACCAGCATGCCTCCTGCATTTGGGAGTGACGAGTGATCAGCTTTTGGCATTCTTTTCGCACTCTCAAGATCATGAGTTGTGCAAGATTGTTGACGGCCTGGATCTCCCTGAGGTTGTAACAGTGCACCTGCAACAACTTCAGCCCATTGACCGCATTGACCGCATCATTATCTACACGGATGGTTCATCCCATTCAGGCCGCTACCACTTAGCGCCAGAGCGTGTAGAGGAACAGCAGATTCCGGATGCTTGGGCTTTTGTTGCCTTGGGAGAACAGTACCATGAAGCTGGTTCTACATATACCCTTCTTGGTTGGAAAGCCCATCAAGTCCGCTGTGCTGAAGATCATCCCTGGCATATTGGGTCACGAGCCATCGGACCATGGGTGGCAGAAAGGGAGGCAATGCTATGGGCCCTCATTTGGAGAATTGGCCTTAATTGCCGCACCCCGACGGTGTTTCGTTCGGACTCGTCTTTGACTATTGGACAGGCTGAAGGAACACTTGGAGCTGCCCACTATGACGATACCTTTGGACTCCTACGAGGATGCCATCAACTGCTTTCAGCAGCTCTGCCTGACGATTGCATCCGGCTGGAGCACATATATGGACACAACAACGATCCTTGGAATGAGATGGCTGATCATTTGGCCAAGTTGGAGGCGCGGAAGGGACTGTTTCTTCCTCGAGGAGACTTCTGCATTGCCCCATGGCGATCTCTCATTCCTTACCTCTGGATGGTTTTTGGACATCATGATGGCCTGCCCCAGCACTGTCATGAAGGTTTTGCAATACCAGCTCCCAAATTGCCACCGCCTTGTCAAGTGACTCCCCTGGAGCTGCGACACGCCCCACTTGAGGTTCGGTTTGCCATCAGTTTTGCGACTGCCAATGTGCTCTCTATGAGTTCACGACCACATGGACATGCAGGAAAGGTGCATTACCTTCGTGAACAATTGGTTAGCCATGGTTTGAACTTTGCAGGCTTTCAGGAAACCAGAGGACAAGCGGGGGCTTCACTGGTTGATCATGTCTTTCGTCTCTGCGCAGGGAGCAAAGGAGGTCAACATGGAGTGGAACTGTGGTGCAATCTCAAGCAGCCATATTGCCAGGTCCAGGGAAAGTCCCAGTTCTTTTGCAAAAATGATTTTGTGGTGCTGCACGCTGACCCGCAGAGACTCCTTGTCAAAGTTGATGCCAAATGGATCACCTTGTGGGTTTTTGTCTTGCATGCACCCCATAGCGGGCTTCCCACTCACCAGCGTGAAGCGTGGTGGAATGACACTATCTCCCTTCTCACAGATTTCAATGTCCCAGCTGATCAGTTATTTGTTTGTGCTGATGCGAACGCTGCGCCAGGGGCTTCAGATGGTCGACATGTTTTTCAAGAAGGGTTTGCAACTACAAGTTCTACAACTTTTCTACGCAATTTCCTGGTAACCTTCGAACTCTGCTTGCCTGCAACGAGCTCGATTCATGAAGGTCCCAGAGAAACATGGATGCAACCCAATGGGCTCATGGCACACCAAATTGACTTTGTCATGGTGCCTACCAGACTTGCGGCAAGCTGCACGTTCTCGAGCCTCTTGGAGAACTTTGATCTTGCGAACCAAGCTGAAGACCACACAGCCACGGCTGTGGAGCTACGCTGGTCGCAAATTTCATCCAGACCCCTCAAGGCGACAACCTTCTCCACCAAGCCATCGTTTGCCAGAGAGGAGATCAACAAGTCCAATTTGAAAGTTGGGATGCGAGCACTTTCCACCTCTACATGGACTTGCGATGTGGAAACGCACACGGGCCATATGAACAACCAACTACATTTTCTTCTCCATCGTGCATGTGCCATCACCAAAGGTGCACCCAAGCGACCGTATGTCTCCGACGCTGCTTGGGCACTGAGACGGCTCAAACTGCAACATCGGAAGGAATTGAAAACTGCGCGGGCACTTTTGCACAGAGAAACCCTTGCCCGTATTTTTGCAGCTTGGAGGGCACCTTCTGCCCAGCTTCTTGAGATGTCCTTTGTCTTCGGATCTTCTCTACGATGTGGCCTTCTCAAGCACTACATTGGTTTCAAACGCTTTGCAGCGGCTTTACAAAGAGACCTTGCAGGTGAAAAGGCCCGACATCTCAAGGAAACCTTGGACACCTTTGACGAAGGCACTGCTGCATCTGAGATTCAACACAAATTGAAAGGATTCTTGGGATCCTCGAACAAGCTACGTCAAGGCCTTGCTCCGCTACCAACACTTCGCAATACCAACAATTTGCCCTGCAGTTCCTCGACTGAGATTTTGTCTCGCTGGATTCAGTTCTTTGCGGACATGGAAGGAGGTGAACGTGTCCCCTTCTCTAGTCTTCATTCAGATTGGGTGCGACAGCTCTCTGAATTCAGTGAACAGGAGCAGGTGCTGTCCATCCATGAAATTCCGAGTTTGAGTGCTCTTGAGGCATCTTGCCGTCGAGTCAAAGCTGGCAAGGCGGCTGGACCAGATGCAATTCCCACAGAACTTTGCAAGTTCTATCCAGTTGAGACTGCGAAGATTTTGTACGCCCTTATGATGAAGCTGGTCACACATGGACATGAGCCCTTGTTGCACAAGGGAGGCACTGTCATCCCTATTTGGAAAGGAAAACTTTCCAAAGACATGTGCGAGGCCTATCGCTCCATTTTGTTGTCCTCGACTTTGGGCAAGGTGATACATCGGACGCTTCGGGTCCATCAACGAGGCATCTATGAAGCTTATCTCCATGCGCAACAGCTGGGGGGACGTTGCCATGTTCCTGTCACCCTAGGGGCTCATCAGACCCGTGCATTTGTGAGATGGCATCGGGAATGTGGACATCCAACCGCAGTGCTGTTCGTGGATTTGCAGGAAGCCTTTTATCGAGTCCTTCGACAGCTTGCACTGCCGGGAGCCTTTGGTGACGAAGCTCTTGCCAAGCTGGCACAAAGGTTGGGCTTGGGCCCTGACATCTTGCACGAACTGTGGCAGCATCTCCAAGAACCTTGCGCCCTTGATCGAGCTGGAATGTCCGTTTGCGCGCAGCGAGTTGTGCGAGCGCTGCACACCAACACGCATTTTCAGTTACCACAGCAGGATGACCATGTTCAGACATCCCTCGGCACTCGACCGGGCGATGCTTATGCTGACATAGTGTTTGGTTTCTTACTGGCACGTGTTTTGCACTTGTATGAGGAGAAGCTGGCACAGGCGCATGTCCTATCCGCTGTCCCACGACAGGAGGGGATGGAGTTGTTCAATGTGGAGGTCAAAGAAGGAGCTCCTGAGTGCCGCTACCTTGGACCAGTCTGGATGGACGACATGGCCTTGTGCTTGTGGAGTGAGACGAACACTGGACTCAAGGCAAAGATTGGAGTGGCGACAAGTCTTTTGCTGGACATCTTCAGAGAGCATGCTATGACCCCCAATCTTCGACCTGGCAAGACGGAGCTCATGGTTAGCCCCAGAGGCCCAGGCACGCGAGACTGGAAGAAAGAGATGTTTGGCCCCCTTTCTACAAAGCACTTTCCAGCGTTAGGAGAGCACGGACTTTATCAAGTGCACTTGGTGACCTCCTACACCCATTTAGGAGGTGTCCTGCATTACACTGGAGAAGTTCGCACCGAAGTCAGAAGGAGGGTCGCGATTGCTCATCAAGCATTTTGCAAACATCGTAAGCTGGTGTACCAATGCGAGAAACTTCCACTACACAAACGTGCGGAGATTTTTCGTAGCTTGATCATGAGCCGCCTGCTTTACGGTGCTGATTCATGGGCGCTTTGGGACTTTCAATCGAAGATGAAGCTGCATTCGGCCATCATGAAGCTGTACCGCAGATTGCTTGGCAGAGCGCATAATGACCACATGCAGGACGATGAAATCCTTTTTCATGTGGGACTCTCCTCGCCAACCGACCTCCTGCGTCTCTGCCGGCTACGCTACATTGGCTCACTTTGTGCCATAGGCGACATTGCATGCTGGGGGTTACTCAACAGAGATCGACTTTGGCGTGCCCTGATTGAAGATGACATGAAATGGGTCTGGCGGAATCTGGCCAACACATGTGATCTTGGAGACCCCACACAGCACATGCAACGCTGGTTTGAGATCATCCGTTTTCACCGTGGTTTCTGGAAGGGTCTTCTCAAACGTGCAGAGAAACATGCCACTCTTCAACAGGCGATGCGATTCAAGTGCAGCAATTTTCATCAGCGAATTCGAAGCCTGTTAGCAGATTATGCTTTGTGGAGGGCGCCTGAAAGATTCGCCCAGCTCACAGATGAAGCACCAACTTTCGGTTGTATGCTCTGTCAACAGCGCTGCCGATCCAGAGGAGGAGAGGGTGCGCACATGTGCAGGAAGCATGGACAGGTTCAACAGATCAGGCACTATATTGCTGGCACGCAATGCATGGCTTGTCTGAAGGAGTACCACACAATTGGGCAGATTCAGCAGCATCTCTTGCGCAGTGCGGAATGCCAAGCTTATCTTCTCCATCATCGACTTCACGGAGCAGTTCTTCCAGGCATTGGGTCTAAGGACAACACAGCTCTTGCGCAGGAGCATGATGGGCGATTGCCACCGTTGCAAGCTAGTGGACCGGCGAAACCTCATCGAGGTGGTTTGGATTTCTCCTTGGTCGACTACGAGCTGCACGATGCGCTGGCATTGATCATTGTGGATGGGCAGGTGACTTCAGATCTTGAAGGTTTGGAAGGTCTCCTTCGAGCAGAGATTCTCCAGCGGCCCATTTCTTGGACCAGATGCAGCACCACCCTACGAGAGCTAGTGGACACTGTGACGGCCGAACCTTTGGGATGGGAAACCTTGCCGAAGGAAGCGGTTCTCATCATTCTCCAGCGCTTGTCCATGACTGCGTCGTGGCCCTTCCTTGTGGATGCGAAGCTGCCGGACGAGCACTACGTTGATACACTGGAGAACATGGAGCAGGATTGTCGAGACGAGGTATTGCAATGCCCCCGAGAAGGAGGTACATTTGTACACCGACCATGTGGTCGACACCAGATTGTCCTACATGCGTTTAGTGGCAGACGTCGACCAGGGGACTTGCAATTCTACATGGAGCAGATGTATGACCGTGCTGCAGAGGGCATTCATCTGACTGTAGTTTCCCTCGACATCATCACGGACCCGGTCATGGGAGATGTCACGGTTCAAGCGACGCAAGATTTCTGGTTCCACTATGCTACATGCGGAGCAGTGGCGGGCTTCCTTTGTGGCCCCCCCTGTGAGACCTGGAGTAGGGCCAGGTTTGTGCAGCTGGCGCAGTCTCAGCGGAAGAGTCCCAGACCGGTCAGGTCCGGGGAAGAGCTATGGGGATTGGCCTCCCTTAGCCTTAGAGAGGCCAGACAGGTGGGTGTGGGGAACCTCTTACTCTGCTTCGCCTTGGAGATGCTCTTCCGCCTAGCGCTGGTCGAAGCAAGTGGAGTTTTGGAGCATCCCGACACCCCACCAGATGAATCTATGCCCTCCATCTGGCGATTGCCCATCATGGAATGGCTCTTGCAGATGCCTGGCGTGAGCACCTTTTCCTTTTGCCAGGGGTTGCTTGGTGCTCCTACGCCTAAGCCCACGCGACTTTTGGTGCTGAACATGCGCGATCTCATGGGAGAACTCCGCCGACATCATCTTTGCCGAGATCTTCCGGCGCGTGCAGCGATAGGAAAGGATGAAGGGGGAGCATGGCAAACGACCAAGCTCAAGGAATACCCCCCTGCAATGAGCCGAGCTCTTGCATCCAGTTTTGTTAAGACCCTTTCAGCTCGCCAGTTTGGAGAAACTGCGCAGCTGGAGGAGGCATTTGTACAGAAGTGCGTGGCCATGGACATCAAGTCCTATGGCACGAGGATTGGCCAGGACTTTGCGGGCCATTCCTGAATTTAGCAGAGGCGAGCCGCACCGTAAAGGATCAGTGTGCTTGTGCAAAAAAAAATATATTTATATATATATATATATTTATATATATCGATTTCTTGGATATTCTTTGGCATTTTCCATAAAAATACTCAAAAACTTCCCATCCGCGGGATGATCCTTTTGATGTGGCGATAGGAGGCTGTGAAGGAAGGCTCAGTTTCTTCGAGGACATACGTCCCTGAAATCGTTGCAGCACGACGATGCGTGCAGCATGGCACGACAAGGCGCCATAGCTGTGGCCGCGAGAAGCCTCGACTGCCAGCTTCGTGCAGATAAGAAACCACGATGTTCTCTGAATTTTATGTAGGATCCACGATGATAAACCATCTCCAGCAGCCGAAAATATTCTTTGACACTAAGATTCTTGGGATTTTTTGTGGATCCCACGTGACAGTTGTTACATTGTAAAGACGTCCGAAAATTCCCGGGAGTGGAGCAGTACATGATGTACATGTGATTTTGCAGAATCCTCCGCTGCAGAAGCTTGTGAAATTTGTGACAGTTTTGTGGATTCCGCATTTTTGCCAAGCTGTAAACATGTAGAGGCCGTCAGTCCATGGTGTTTCAAGGAGGAATTTTGAGCTGATCAATGGATTATGTTTCATCGACGGGGCTACAGTCTCCAATGCAGCGTCATGTTATGGTAGATATGGTAGGATGTGTGATGGTACGAGGTGTAGAGCAGATGAGTTTGCAATGCAATGTCATGTAACAACATGCGAAATAGAAAGCAACGCAAAAATCATATTGTCTAATCACGTAGTGTCGAGTCGTGTTATGTCATGTTGCACTGCAATGCCATGCATCAATGTGTTTGCATTTGGGAGCCTACAATACTGGAATGAAACGGCCACTGGCAAGTGGTTGCTTGAGAATACAGGTCATCACAAATATATTGACATATAGACTACCACAACCAATTATTTGTATATCGATAATATCCACACAGCATGTGTCTTCCACATTCTGGGTGTCCATGTCCATGGAGCTATGCCAAAAAAAGCACTCTGCAAAAGTTCTATGCTTGGCAAAGGTCGGCCAGCCCCATCGGTGTCTTCAGCATGCAGCTGAGCCGTACAGAAGGTCCCGCCGATGGCCACCCGCCAGCTGTCGGCATCAAAAGATGAGGAGACTTGTTGTATCTTGTTGTCATGTCACAAAAAGAAACTCAAAGAACATGTGTCTTTGTAGCAAAGGATGGATTTGTAAAAAGACCTCGCTCAAACCAGCGAAACCATCATCTTTTGATAGATCCAGAAGATCACAACAGCCCCAATCCGTTCGAAAGGATGGCCGATTAACTCATTCTCCCCATCGTCCAGTCAGCGACCGGACACCACCAGCACCAGCTGGGAGCCACAGATGTGTGGAGCTGTTGTACATCCAATTCTGTTGTTTTTGGATGGAGCTGTAGCCACCAGAAACGCCCAACTTCCCGGAACTTCGAGGACGAAAAGGACGAAAACGAGGAGTCTCCTACTGCATAGCGACTTATAGCGACCTTAAATTTGACCTCACCACAAATGATGCTTCGTAAGGGAAATCATCCCAAAATTGTTGATGCGGTCGATTTCTTCGTAAGACGATACGGATCTTGAACGCTGAACACCAGAATGGTTTTTTACCGAACGTTGCACCCTTGCTCCGACAATTCAGAATGCTGAGGAGCCCAACCTCCAGCTCCATGGAAGGGCATGGATTGCCGTTGGTTTTTCAGTGCAGATTTTGAGCAAATTCACTTGTGAAAAAACAGTGGTATCCCTGGAAAATGATCCATACATGGAGTATTGTCCATATCCATGTTCAGTTGCTGGGGGTAGTAACCCCAGTGAGCAGCAGGTACAATCTCTGCCATTTTGGAGCTGCTGAGAAGGGTTCTCTAAGCCGCTTTGTGCCGCTGCTCCAAAGACTTCTTGAAAAGCGCGAAACAAAGGGTGCAGCTTGTTGCGACATTCGAGGAACAGTGTTGGTTATCCTAGGTCCTAGTGGCATCCCTGTTGCAAAATGTGTTTAATGCTGTAAATATTGCTTCCTTTAGGTTGAGCATGCAGGTTGAGCATACAGATTGAGCATAAACTTGGAGCTTTGGCTGTAATAATTATGGGTGCCAGGATGTGTTTGACAGAACCAATGTCCGCTGTCTCAGTTTGACCCTCATCGGTTTTGTGCAAAGACATCTTTGCAGATCCCTTGCAGGAAACTTCCTTCGCGCATGCGCAAATCTTATATACTAATTAGGTATCAAAAAACAACTTAAGATGCTAAATTATAAATAGGCGTAAATATGTCACGGACATGTCTAGTGTTTTGTTATACCCCCGTAGTTGTGCCTCTACACAACTCTGATGTGTTTTTACGCCGAAAAAATGCCCCAAAATGATCCTTAGAGCCTTAGAGGGTCCGTTTTACAGATGGCTTGGTGTCCAGCCATCATTTGTGTTAGGAGATTATAGAAGCTATTAGAAGAACGTGCCTGGAGGATGAATTCTCTAGAACAACACCGTCGAAAGATTGGCCCGTGGACCCTTTGACTGCTCTAGCCGATTTCAACTGGTTTATGTGCAAAAAACAAAAGGAGGTGGTGCCAAAGAAGAAGAAAATGCATCTTATAGAAATCCTACATGCTACGTTGGCGTGGCCCCCCTGTTTCCTCTTGTCCTCCTGTTGTATCTCTGCGGGCATGTTTCTGTTCCAGATCCGATCCCAGCATCCTTTGTAGATATTTGGGTTGGGGCAGCATTATATACTGTATAAATATATATATATATCGTATATATATATATTTATATATATATATATCGTATATATATATATCGTGTATATATATATATATCTTATACATATATATATATATATATATATCGTGTATATATATATATCGTATATATATCGTATATATATATATCGTGTATATATATAATATAGGGCACGCATTGGCGATAGCATGGCGGAAGGTCATTTCATGGCAGATTTCCAGCTGATGTGTGGATATTGGTAAACAAATATATTTTGATTTGTTTGAAATAAAATATTCGTAAAATAGAGAAAACATATATAATATAATATATTACCAGTGCCCGGCCTGCCCCGGGGCGGAAGTTTCAAAAAAATATGACTACTATGGGAAGAAGACGGCCTATAGGAAAGCTTTCGAGATGCAGAAGCAACGAAGCAACGAAGTGTTAGAGTTGTGAGGTGCACCAACGAATGAGCAAATGGTTTTTGAGATGCCAATGAAAGGACATGAAAGAATCCATGCACAACTGACTGAATGAATCAGTGAACCAATGAATAGATGAATCAATGACCAATGAATCAATGAATCAGTGAATCAGTGAACTGATGTAGGAACGAAGCAATGAATCAATAAATCAGACGACGAATCAACCAGCCAACCAATCAACCAACCAATCAATCAATCAGTCAATCAAGGAATCAATGAATCACTGCATCAGAATGAATGAATCAGGGATCAACGACTCAGTGGATAAATGAATTAGTGAATCAACGAAGCACTGAATGAATCGACCAATGAATCAACGAAGCACTGAATCAATGAATCAGTGAATGAACGAAGGAACCAGGCTTTCCTGCGCGCAGCCGTGCCAATGCGTTTAGTCACAGCTGGTTGCAAACCCACATAGCAGGAGTGGTGAACTAAATCGACGAACGTTCGCGCAGCACTGACATTGGGGACTCGACCACATAAATCCGGCGCTACTCCGATCCCTGCATTTTTCTGCAAGTTTTATGAGAAATCGAGCTCTCGCTGCTCGCTACAGTCTCGTGCAATTTTTGCGGACAACTTTGCCAGACCGAGCCCCGCAACCGCGGAAACAGAGGCGCTCCTTCGGCGACCCTAGGACCCACTTTACCCAAAGAAATATAAGGTGTCGCGCCCGAGAGTGTTTTTAGCTGTGAATTTACGCGCTTCGTGAAATGTTCTCTCTGCGCTTGTACGCAGGTGCAGAGCACAGTGTGATGTTCTTGTCACACCGCAGCTTGTAACCATCTTACCATATATCTTTTGTCACATGTTTGTGCTCGTTCTTCTTCTTGTTCTTTTTCTTGTTCTTGTTCTTGTTCTTGTTGTTGTCGTTGTCGTTGTCGGTGTCGGTGTCGTTGTCGTTGTTGTTGTTGTTGTTGTCGTTGTCGTTGTCGTTGTCGTTGTTGTTGTCTTTGTCGCCGTCGTCGTCGTCATCATCGTCGTCGTCGTCGTCGGTCGTCGTCCTCGTGGTCGTGGTCGTTGTGGTTGTTGTGGTTGTTGTGGTTGTTGTGGTTGTTGTGGTAGTAGTAGTAGTAGTAGTTGTTGTTGTTGTTGTTGTTGCTGTTGTTGCTGTTGTTGCTGTTGTGGTTGTGGTTGTGGTTGTTGTTGTTGTTGTTGCTGGTTGTTTGGTTGTTTGTTTGTTTGTCTGTTTGTCTGTTTGTCTGTTTGTCTGTTTGTCGGTTGTTCGTTGGTTTGGTTGGTTTGGTTTGGTTTGGTTTGGTTTGGTTTGGTTTGGTTTGGTTTGGTTGGTTGGTTGGTTGGTTGGGTCGGTGGGTTGGTTGGTTGGTTGTTGTTGTCGTTGTTGTCGTTGTTGTTGTTGTTGTTGTTTGTTGTTGTTGTTGTTGTTGTTGTTTTATTTTTGTGTTTTTGTTTTTTGTTTTTGTTCCTTTTTTTATTTCGTATTTTGTTTTTATTTTGTTAAATGTTTTGATTTGTTTTGCTTTTATGTTTTTTTTATTAGTGTTATTGTTATGTTTTTTTGTTACTATTGTTGTTGTTGTTGTTCTTGTTCTTCTTGTTCTTCTTGTTCTTCTTGTTCTTCTTGTTCTTCTTGTTCTTCTCGTTCTTCTCGTTCTTCTTGTTCTTCTCGTTCTTCTTGTTCTTCTTGTTCTTCTTGTTTCTTGTTCTTCTTGTTCTTCTTGTTCTTCTTGTTCTTCTTGTTTTTCTTGTTTTTGTTGTTCTTGTTGTTCTTGTT